ACCACTGGCGAGCTCTTCCTTGTAGGGAGTGCTTGAAGAGAATTAATTGAAGCGCCTCTTGGGAAACGCCGTTTTGACGGTGGGAGTTACAGGTATCTAGAAAATTGACAATGTGCAGATGGGGATCTTCACCTGCCAACCCACTAAAGAGCCCGTTATTTTGGAGCATCGTCAAAAGGCCTTGTTTGATCTCAAAATTATGCGCCTCAATGGGTGGATATTGGATGCTCGGCCGGAATCCGTCATGAGTCGGGATTATGTAATCTTGAAGTGCCCGTGGCCTAGCTGCTGGCTGTAATGGAAGTTGAAGGGGTGGGTCTTGGACTTGGTTCCCGTTGGCATTGAGTAAATTACCCTCTGCACGTATGCGTTCTTCGTCCTCCATTCTATAATTTTCGCGTTGAAGTCTCCTAGCGGCTCGAAAAGTTCGTTCGATTTCGGGATCAAACGGTTCTCTAGCAAGATCGAGTCTCCTGCGCATACAACGTACCTAAAACAAAAATAAAATAAAACGAAAATTAAATGGGTGAATCGTGAAAATTGTTCAAATCTAGAGCTAGAATAAAATAAATAATTAAAATATTCCCCGGCAACGGCGCCAAAAACTTGTTGGTCGAAAACCTACACGCAAGTGCACGTATCGTACAAGTAATATAGTGGACAATTAAGTCCGGATATCGAACCCACAGGGAATATTTAATTACTTAATCCTAGACGCTAAATTCTACCAATTATTATCAAGCCCACCCTACACAGTCGAGTTTTGAGAGAATAAACTAAATTAAACTAAATTAAAAACAAACAAAAACAAGAAAGCAATTAAAAACGAAGATTTAATCAAAGTAGACAAGCCTAGGATTTTATTCTTCCCCCTATGTGATTATTACTCCCCCAATTCCCTCAATTATGCAAGCAATTAACCCGGATTATTAACCTGAGATGCTAAAATAATCATAACCCGCTTCCGCGTGTATTACGATTCTAATACTCTAGATTCAATTACTATATTCCTATGCAATTAATTCTAGAACACAGCATTAAGCACAAATCTCAATAATGGCTACCTAAGAGATTAACTATATTCCTATGTTAATACCACAAAGGCTCTTCTACCACAGTTCTAATTATTAACCCGATCTTCCGATTCATGCGATTAACAATAACATAAAAGCACATAAGTTGATCAAGTTCATGCACTTAATAAAACAAGTAGAAGAAATAATCCGGAATTAAAACTTGCATAAAATCATAGAAAAGGGTTCATAAATCCCACATAGGGTTCCAAATAAAATCCTAGAAATAAGTAGTTTAGCTACTCATAATTAAATCAAAAACGCAAATAAAATAAATCATAGACGATAAATCTTTGCTTGGAGTCTTCGAATTCTTCGTCTTCGTTATTGCTTTGTTGCTCTTGAAATTGCGTAAAAAGATGGATCCCTAATTGTGTGCTTGGCTTGGTCTTATATAGGGTGAAAAACTTGGGGAAGAAGGCAGTTTCCTTGTACAATTAAGATTCCCTCACTGCGCCAACTCGCCCATCCGGACGGCCGTGTGAGATTTATGCCTAAAATCCGCACGGCCGCGCGGTCTATTCTCCAGAATTCTGCTTTTTTCACTTTTGGCCCATATTTTCTCCAAAATTTCAGTTTTGACCCCATACTTTTCCAATTCTTCAATTTGTACCTAAAATACAATAAATCAACTTTTTAAGCACCAATTATCGTTAAAACACACCAAAAGCTCAAATAAAAAGATACGATAAAGTGTAAAAATATACACTTAACAATACCAGTGTGGAGTAAATGAAGCTTCTCATGGACCTCTTTGATTCTTCGTTGTGGGAGTGTGTTGCTGGTTCTGTTCCACTCAATTAAAGCAACTTTGCAGCCCTCATTCGCCTCTAAAACTGTCATCACTGGATCTGATTTTTTATCGTCCAACCACTGCTGATTAATGATAAGCTCACATTCCTCATTTCGGGCCCAAATGGCTTCGAAGCGAAAAGGTTTTCGTCGTCGGCGGGATAATGGTGCTGGTAGTTCACAAATGCGGAGCTCAAGGGGCTGGTGGTCCGAACCTGGGTATTCAAGGTGCGTAACTTGCGCCTGAGGGAATAGAGCAATCCAAGAATTCGTGGCACACACCCTATCCAAACGACTACGAACGGTGAAGGGGTGTCTTCGATTGTTGGACCAGGTAAACGGGTCGCCATTAAAGCCCAGATCCATCAATTCGCAAGTATCCAAGGCCACCCTAAAAGCTTCAATATATTTAGGAAGCTTCGGATTTCCCCCTTCCTTTTCGGAGGAACTAAGAATTTCATTAAAATCTCCACCGATAAGCCATGGAAGATCGCTAAGCTGACGAATCCTACAAAGCAATTCCCAAGACCGTGGTCGCTGATCTTGTTTTGCAAAACCGTAGAAACCAGTGAATCGCCATCGGTTTTGACCATCTTCTGGCACAATTTCAACGTCAATGTGATTGTTGGAGAATCCGTATAAATGGACCTGAATGTCCTTCTTCCAAAGAAGAGCGAGGCAACCAGCTTTTCCAACCTTCCCAACTGCCAAGCCAAACAAATTCCATCTATTTTTTAGACGTTCAATCGCAGATGGTGTTGATCTCGTTTCCGAGAGAAACACCAAATCGGGGCTATGGAAATGAATAGTGTTTTAAAACACCACTTTTTACATTCACTCCAACAACATTGTTTATATTTTACACATACATTATATTTTATTGCTTTAATATTGTAATTTAAGTTTAAATTTAAACCACATATTTTTACAATTATATTCCCACAAACATATTAATATAGATCTTGTGTAAAAAAGACATTTCTTAAATTTATTATCATTTCAGCAAAAAAATGATACTATTTGACTAAATTAATTAATATAATAAGTTTAAAATTGTAGTTATAATTAATAATAAAAGTTAAACTTATTAATATAATTATCTTCAAAACATAATTACTATAACATAATTATTTTTTATTAGTAAACTTTCATAAAATACAATATTTTAATAATTTCTTGGTTGTCTAAATTCTAACTTTGATTTGTCAAATTTGGCAAACCAAAGTCATGGCTTAAACAATATATAAAATTTACAGTTTGTTATTGGAGCATGAAATTTTGGAATTGGTTGTTCAAATTGTGCATAATTTAGATTTAACAAACCTCTTGGAGATGCTAAAGGTATGTAATTTAGATGATAAATTTTTAGGTTAAATAATTTGGTTTTGACCTCTTAGCAAGAATCTAATTAGTTTGATGAGCCTATAGGCACGGGGGAGTCCACCCCTTTGGGAGGTGGACTCAAAAGCCCACAATGCACCGTAAATTGAATAATTAAGTAATTTCATTATTTATTGGTTTTTTTAATAAATTAGGTTGTTATTTTCTTCAACTTCCAACCTAATTTCAAGTGCATAAAGTGCGAAAAAATAAAAATCACATCGGATTATTAAAAACAATTATATTTTCTTACAAAATAAAATAAAATAAACTTTTATCACTAAATTATTTGATTGATGGATCTTTTATTGCAACTGGTGGAAATATTAGGTAAAAATATTTGGAATAAATATGATTTTCTGATAACTTGATAACGAAATAGCTGAATGAATATGTTTTCGTAAAATATTTTTTTGTGATAAAAAATATATTTTTTAAATATGTTGATGAGATGTATCTTTATTCTTGCACTTTATAATTTAAAAATAATTGATGAATTAAAAAAAAAAAGAATTTGACGTTTGTCGGCCTAAAAAAATACCATTAAAAATATAAAATTACCTTTATTAGCTTTAAAATTTTGTTTGGGTTATTGCATTGTGCATGATTTATTGTGTTTCAATGGTGCAAAGTGTTATTATTTTGTTTCGAGGGTGCAAAGTGCCAAAATGGTATATTTCAAGGATGCAAAATGGGATTAAGCCGCTAACTGCCGTTGACAATACATTTATGTAATTGTTCTGCCGTTGACAGTAAATTAACGTAATATTATTATTATTTATTTTTTGTTATTTTTTTTATTTTTTTTGATTTGTTGACAAGTCAACGTAATTATATTACTGTCGTTGACACTAAAATAACTGTAAACACAATAATATTACTGTCAACAACATCAATATTATTATTTTTTTGGGGTTTTTGCTTTGTTTGAATTATTCACGGAGTAATGTAATAATATTACTGTCTATTATTGTAATATTATTGTAAACACAATAATATTACTGTGGAATTGACGGTAATATTACTGTTGTTATAGTAATATTGTTGTCAACCACATCAATATTATTTATTTATTTTTTTGTTTGAATTATTCACGGAGTAACGTAATAATATTACTGTTTATTATTGTAATATTACTTTGGTTGACGGTAATATTACTGTTGTTAATATTACTGTCACTCACAGTAATATTAATTCTTTTGGCTTTTTATTATGTTTACATTTGTTGAACGGTCAACATAGGAATATTACTCTATTACACAATAATAATGAGTTTTGTTGTGTTAATATTACTGTGCTAGAGATTAATATAGCAATTTTACTGTGTTTAACAGTAATATAGTTAATATTACTGTCAATCACATCAATATTGCTGTTTAAACGAAACAAAAAGTTACAAAAAGAAAGAAAATAATAAAAAAATCGAAAAAGTCAACGCCGGAGACTGGCGTTGACCGCCGGTCAACGCCGGAAACCGGCGAAAAAGTCGGGAAGAAAAAAAAATAAAAAATTGAAAAGTCAACGCCGGAATCCGGCGGGAAAAAAAAGTTTTTGAAAAAAAATGTTTTGGGTCAAAATGAATAATTTGTGAAATTTGGGGTCAAATTGAGGTTAAACTAAGTTAGATGAAATTGGAGCATATTAAAGTATAAGGGGTTATTTTAGTCTTTAACAAAAATCTGGACCATGTGTGGACTTATTGGTAAAGGAATTTTTTGTCTGGATCTCTTTATAAATAAGTATTCATTGATGGGCTTATTTATAATATGTCCATTAATTTATAACCTGTAAATTGCACATAACTACATACATGTGCGGAAATTCGTTACTGCTAATCACCAACAATAGTGTACGTCGCTGTTATCATAACAACGTCTACAATTCTCTTTACTACAAAACAATACAGTGAGAACTAAAAGCGTGGTCCAATAATACTAATAGCAACACAAAAGCGATAGATACACAATGTGATCTACTTAAGGACAGAAGACAAACCGGTAACTGGTACCCTCGGGGCAGGTAAAAGTGCTAGTCGGGTCATCCTCCGGGTACGTGAAAGCATCGCGGCACCTCGCCTTAAAGAACCGCGAAAATCCGTCGGCCGGCAGGCCCCGGAGTGGCAGCAATACTCCGTCGTTTTGAACACCGTGCACGGGTTGTTGCACCCGCCGGGCGCTCTGAGTTGGGTCGGGCACTGACCCGTTACATCCGCCGCGCATGTAACGGGTCGGGTGCACCCGTTCGTGGTGGGCGTGAATTCGATGGGCACGTTGAACCCTTCCATCACGGAGATGTCGTAGTAGTCCTTGCGCGCGAAGCTGTTCAGCCCGTACTCGGCGAGCGTGTGCGGCGGCGACCCGTAGGATCGGCACCGGAGCTGCCCGCCGCAGTCGCCGGTCAGGCAGCTGCCCTGACCGGAGGAGTCGAAGGTGCAGTTTGTTCGGGCCCAGATTTTGGCGAGTTTCGGGACGTTTGGGAAGCCGATCGTCCATGTCTGGCCGCTGTCGAGGCGGCGGCCGCCGCCCGGGACGGCGGCCGGCCAGACGGTGTAGGGGCAGTTGTTTTGGATGTTGAAGATTATGGCGTGGGTGGTGTGGAGGAAGAGAAGTGGGAGGAGTGTGAAGATGGATTTGGTGAAATTCATTTTTCTTTTTCTTTTTTTTTTTTTTGTTTTTTTTTTTTTTAATGTTAATTGTGTGTGGTTTGTATTATGGTTTTTATAGAGTGGTGAGAGTTACGTGATGGAATTGAATTTGAATTTTCAATTAGTTTGAAAAATTAAGGATTATGTGATTATTTTGGATTTGTCAACTATACTATGCATGCTTTTTGCTATATATCATATTCATGTAGGACTGTTTTTTCAACTTTTTCTTTTTGACGTTTTACAAATACCGAATTATGGCTCTAAGGAGGGGTGAAAGTCGCATTGAACGGATATAAATTATATTCTTCGAAAAATTTAAAAAAAAAAATTGGAAGTAGAACACTAATTTAAATTTCAATTCCAATATTACCGGAGTCTAGAAATTCATTACAATTCTAAATCTTATGGAAATTCCGGAATTTTGGGAAATTTCGGAAATCATATAAGTTTTAATATTTTTTAAAAGTTTAGGAAACTTTATTAAATTCTTTAAAAATACGAACACCCACTTTCATGCAATCATAATATTAGAATTTGCGAAATTAAATAAGATCGAAAATCAAAAATTCAAAATATTTCCAATTTCAATATCAAAAGAAAATCGAAAATATCAGAATTCTGAAAATCGGGTAGAAAAAAGGTTGTTTCAAGACTGAAACTTTTCGGATCAAAACAGACTGAAATTGAAAATTTTGTTCCAACTTTTGCCCCTAGCTATGGTTGCCAAAAACAATAATAGCGTACTCGATAGTCTTGAAATAGATTTACGATAATTTTAATTATATTGGCACCAATTTTAGCAAGAAATAGAGCACCATATTACTCATTCCTTACGCAAGAGTGATATTTTTTAGTAGAGTTATTGAGATCTTATTAATTAAATAAGTAGTTAGTCATTAAAGAATATGTATAATTTAATCCAATCTATATTACTATGACATTTGTAATCGAATAAGACCTCAATAATCACACATGGGTTACCATAAATATAATTAAATGTTATTTTTTTTTATTTTTTGGGATTTTTATGCAAAAGTCCCCAACCAAGCATGTTTATTATTCTAGGTATAGGGGACATATCTCTTTCACCAATAAGCCCATCCCTTTAATATTTATTATAACTAAAGGAAACATTCATGTATATCCCAATATTACCCTCAATCATTTATACCCAATTTTTAATTGTAATCCAAATTAATCAATTTTGTCCATAAAAGTTCAATTTTGACCACAAAAATTCAATTTTGACTTTTTTTTGGAGTACAATTTAATATGCTCCAATTTCATCCTTAACTTAATTTAATCTCAATTTGACCCCAAATTTCACAAATTATTAAATTTTGACCCAAAATTTTTTTTTTTTTCAAAAAATTTTTTTTTTTCAAAAACTTTTTTTTGCCGCCGGATTCCGGCGTTGACTTTTTAAACTTTTTTTTTTTTTTTTTTTTTTTTTTTTCTTCCGGATTTTTTTTCCGGATTCCGGCGTTGACCGGCGGTCAACGCCGGTCTCCGGCGTTGACTTTTTTTTTTTTTTTTTCTTTTTTCTTTTTTTTTTCTTTTCTTTTCTTCCGGATTTTTTCGCCGGTTTCCGGCGGTCTCTTTCTTTAGTGTTTTTTTAAGTTTTTTTTTTTTTGTTTGGTTTGTTTTGTTTTTCCACGCCCGCCGCTACACGTTGACCGTAATTGTGCTGTCACTGACAGTAATTTAGCGTAATTATACTGTCAATGATAGTTAATTAACGTAATTGTACTGCCGTTGACATTACATTTATGTAATTGTGCTGCCGTTGACAGTAAATTAATGCAATATTATATTTTTTTATTTATTATTATTTTTTTTTTTTTTTTGATTTGTTGACAAGTCAACGTAATTATATTACTGTCGTTGACAGTAAAATAACTGTAAACACAATAATATTACTGTCAACAACATCAATATTATTATTTTTTTGGGGTGTTTGTTTTGTTCGAGTTATTCACGAAGTAACGTAATAATATTACTGTCTACTATTGTAATATTACTGTTGCTATAGTAATATTACTGTCACTCACAGTAATATTAATTCTTTTGGTTTTTTTTATTTTTGTTTACATTTGTTGAACGGACAACATAGTAATATTACTTTATTATACAATAATAATGAATTTTGTTGTGTTAATATTAATGTGCTAGAGATTAATATAGCAATATCAATGTGTTAAACTATAGTTTAGTTAATTTTACTATGTTTAACAGTAATATAGTTAATATTACTGTCATTCACAGCAATATTGCTGTTTAAACGGAAAAAAAAGTTACAGAAAAAAAAAAAAAAAAAAATAAATAAATAAATAAATAAAAAGTCAACGCCGGAGACCGGCGTTGACCGCCGGAATCCGGAAAAAAATCCGGAAGAAAAAAAAAAAAAAAAAAGAAATAAAATAAAAAGTCAACGCCGGAGACCGGCGTTGACCGCCGGTCAACGCCGGAATCCGGAAAAAAAATCCGGAAGGAAAAAAAAAAAAAAAAAAAAAAATTTTAAAAGGTCAACGCCGGAAACCGGCGTTGACCGCCGGTCAACGCCGGAATCCGGCGGGAAAAAAAAGTTTTTGAAAAAAAAAAAATTTGTGAAAAAAAAAAAGTTTTGGGTCAAAATTGAATAATTTGTGAAAGTTGGGGTCAAATTGAAGTTAAAGTAAGTTAAGGATGAAATTGGAGCATATTAATGTAAGAGGGGTTATTTTAG